CTGTTTTACAACAAAAAAACACAGGATGGAATATTGATCAAGACCGGAGGAGCAAACAGAGCTCCATGGAAGTTTCTGTACATATTTATGGATCACACACACACACACACACACACACACACACACAGACACACACACACACACACACACACACACACACACACACACACACACACACACTCAGTAACACACACACACACACACACACACACACACACACACTCGAAGCATCCTCTCTCTCATGTTTGTCTTTAATCCCTGCAGAAAATCATTTTCCTGACTTCAGCCTCGTTAACTGTGAGATCTTTGAGTCGGGGCTCAGCTGATCAATCAGAAACACGACTGCAGGTAGAGAAGCCGTGTGTGTGTGTGTGTGTGTGTGTGTGTGTGTGTGTGCGTGTGTGTGTGCGTGTGTGTGTGTTTCCTGTGGCTGGAGATTCGCTGATCATCTGCAGCTTAATTAAACCTGCACAGAGTTCAAGCCTCTTTCTGAGAACATCGATCGTCACACAAACACACGGACCCTCAGAGAGCCGATTGATCAGCCTGATCAATACTCTCTCTCACACACACCAGCAGACGTGCTGGATTCCTCACACTGTCAGTTTCACTTCTGATGAAATCATAAAATATTTATTCAGTTTACATAAAACAAATTTCTGTATTTTCAGCTCAGCTTTTATTGTGAAAGGCTGACTTTATCGCTGAGCTCTTATTGTCGTAAATAACAGCTTCCTGCAGGGTTTTCTGTGCTGATTCCTCACACTGTCAGGATCAGTCTGCTACCACATGACCCAGAGGCCCCTGCAGATCAGTGTGTGTGTGTGTGTGTGTGTGTGTGTGTGTTTGCTGAGCGTGTGTGTGTGTGTGTGTGTGTGCGTGAGCCCTGGTCAGTGTCAGTCTCACTGTCTCCCTCGCTGCTTCACTAATCCCATTTCCTCCATATCATCCTTTTATCTGCAACACAGTCTGTGTTTGCTGAGTGTGTGTCTGTGAGTGTGTGTGTGTCTCTGTGTGTGTGCGTCTGTGTGTGTGTCTGTGTGCGTGTGTGAGTGTGTGAGTGTGTGCTGTGTAATAGGAAATGTTCCCATGGTTTGGACTTGCAGGCTGACTCTGTGATTTCGAGTGACTGATGAGTGAAATTCACCGTGAAGGTGAAATACAAAGAAACACATTTTCCAACACGGCGATGCCGGGACGGTCGGGTAAAGTAAATCCGTTGGGCGTCTTTCTTCGCCTTTAGACAATAATTCTGATGCAAAAGAGCCAAACGGGACAGGCGGGAAAAAATGAATAAAAAGAAACATTTTCACATGAAGGCGACACCTGGAGTGTTTGCTTTACGTCTTTAAGCGTCGTCATGTCACAAAAGCAATAAAGTTTTATAAGTCAAACTAACACTCTTTAAATTCATGACAGATGTGCGATGTCACGTCAGCGGCGTGTGGTGGGAACAAAGCCGTGCCGCTTTGATGTCCACGGGTCTCCAGCAGCTCGACTGTTCTACTCTGAGAGCGAATCCTCCGTGGCCAGCAGGTGGCGCTGCATTCATGTAATTTGATTTTAAAGGTACAAATGTTTTTCACCATTAGATGGCAGTAGATCTGTTTTCCTGCCCCTGGAGCCGTTGAATGGAGGAGTCGAGTCATCTGCGTCTCTCCCAAGGACCGCGTTTTTACAGCAAAGCGTTTTATGGAGCCTCACATTGGTTCCACATGTTAGCAACATACGGTAGCTGTGCCACATTTATATTTACAGGTGAGACGCTAAAAACATCAGCTTGTTATCAGCACACATTCTAACTGCCCGATAAGAAGAACTCTTTGAAGGCTACGAACGCCCGCTGACAGGACTCTGACTCACACAAAGGCCCCGCCTCACACAAAGGCTCCGCCTCACACAAAGGCCCCGCCTCCCCAGATTCACCTGCATAATCCTGGCTAAACATGTTTTAGTCATTCAACAGATCAAAAACATTAAATATGAACATTAAATATGATCATTAAATATGATCGTACTGTTTACATCAGCTGTCTGTGCCGGGGGAGAGGCGTCCATCTTTATTTACTCTGGGGGCTGTAACGCTTCGTGAAAGGAGCCGATACGAGTCAGCGAGTCAGACACACTCACTGCTGACCGATGACCAGCTGTTGAACATCTGCTGAGCTGTCTGTCAGGGCTGCTGTTTGCCCGGGTTAGTGAACTTTATTTGAAGTATATCTAACATTATTAGTCTCAGAGAATAAACTCAAAGAGGTGTTTTATTAAGACGTTTGGGTTTTTGTTTCTTTGGTTAAGTGTAGCATTAAGCTTTTATTGCTGTGAGCAAATTTTAAAAGTGAAGTTATTATAACATCTGTTTGGTTTCCATCAGACTTTATTTATTTGAAATGAGTTGAAATATAAAAATATTCTTTTTAAAAAACATCGCTGGTGGAGGAATCTGAGTCTGCCGCCGCACTGACCGACGCCTCCATCACCTCCTCCTCCTCCTCCGGAGGTCTCACGGCGGGCAGGTGGGCGCCCATCTTCCTGCTTCCTCCCTCCTCCTCCTGCTGTCGAGCTGCAGATACAAACACATAAGACGACTTCAGCTGCGTCCACACAGGAAGCTGGGCCCGCCCACCCTGCTGTTATTACACTCACGTGGTGCGAGCAGAATCTGCAGCTCAACGTGGCAAAGACCAAGGAACTGATCGTGGACTCCAGGAAACACTGACCCCTGTTTCAGTCCAGCGGGTCAGTGTTGAGGCAATAAATGCCTCGGAGTGCACACTGAGAATAAACTGGACTTACAGGACAGAGTCGTCTCTATTTTCTGAGACGACTGAGGTCCTTCAACATCTGTCGGACAACGCTCAGGATTTTCTACGAGTCTGTTGTGGTCAGTGCTTCCCTCTACACTGTTGCATGCTGGGGCAGCACGTTGAAGGTTGCTGATGAGGCCAGCAATGTTGTGGGGATGGAGCTGGACTCTGTTAGGGTGGTGCTGCAGAGGCCATTGTTGTCCAGGATAAAGACAATGTTGGATCACACCTCCCACCCACTCATGACGTGCTGGTCAGTCACAGGAGCTCAGTGAGAGACTGAGATTACCCATAATGCACCACTGAACGACACAGGAAATCATTCCTGCCTGTGGCTACAACTCCTCCACCCAACACACTGTTTACTGCTACAGCTACACCTTTGTTGCACACGCTCGTCTTTCTTATTCAGATATTTATTAGTGACTCATATGTTTTTGTTTTTGTTTATACTGGAGCACTGTAAACAACAGAACTCGTCCCGCTGTTGAAGGTGCTGAACTTTTTTGACCTCTGTGAGTCACTTCCTGTCGACGGCGCTTCTTCCTGCTGAATCTTTTATTCTGGAGAGCAGCTTTGCATGACTCCATTAGGAATAAACTCCTCAGCTCCTCCCCCTTTAACCTAGCCTTCTTCTGACTGGCTGACCTCTGGAAGCCTGCAGAGGGGCAGCACTCGGAGCTGCAGTCTTCATATCTGCTGAGTGAGTAAAGCGTTTACATAACGCACCGACATCAGAGCACCGTGAAAGAGGCTCGCTGAGGTCACAGCCGAGCAGCACGGCGCTCGAGGCGAGGAAGAGGAGGTGAGGAGAAACGCTGTGACGCGTCCGTTTCCTTCTGCCGGCTCGTGAGGTTCGTCTGAAGCCTGAGAGCAGCAGGAACTCGCTGACCCTGAGCCGCCACCAGGAGTGGAAAAGCAGCTGTGGGTTTCTGGGACACACTGAGCGGCTGTCTCCAGCAGGGAGGAGCCTGAAAGAGGAGACGGGAGGCGTGTGAGGAGCTGCAGGACACTGAGCTCACTGTGAGGAGGAGCCGCCATGATGGAGGTCTGGACGCCTCACTTCCTGTCCCTGAAAACGATTTATTTTTGTTTCAGTCACTGAATCGAACCCTCTGTGAAACTGCTGCTCCTCACTTCCTGTCACATGACTCCTGCCGCTGCGACGGGCGTTCAAACAGGACAACGAGCTCAGTGTGAGGACAGTAACGGCGCTGCCTGTGTGATGTCACAGAACGGCTCCTCCCCACCGCCGTTCAAATGCTCCTTTTAATTGCCTTAAAGGGGCGGAGCTAAGACCGCTTGTTTCACACAGCAGATGAGCCGAGACAAAGAAGGATTATTATGAACTGAGTCACGCAGAGCTGCTCTCACTGTGTCCAGAGATAAACCAATCAGAGCGAGTGGCCCGTGAGCCTGCGTCTCCATGGCGATCAAGACAGAGCCATCGCTACTACACATGCCTCCGTGAGCTGGTTGTCATAGTTACTGAGCATCTTCTAATTAAAGAGACGGTGGACCTGACGAACCTTCACACACACACACACAGATGTAAACACGTGCTCTGATTGGTCGGTGAAGCCTGCGCGCACACCAGCTGTGATATATTTCCATGACAACCAGAGCACAAAGAGAGAGGCTGGTGATGAGGTTCAGTTCTTCGTCCTCGTCTTCAGGCACGTTTCATTCACAGGAAGTGAACCGCAGCAGGCGCTGGTCGTATGATGTCACAACTGCCTCGCTGTTGAGATCTAAAGCTAGGAGAACACGCCCACGTGCTCCCATCCCCTCAGAGCGAGTGTTTGACCTGCTCAGCGTCCCGTTAAAAAGTTTCACCACCTGACACCTCGCCAAAGGAGGCGGAGTCAGACAGAAGCGTGCTCCTTCTTAAACACTTCACCCAACTCAGAGCGCCCCAGCTCGACGTCCGTGACCCATGTGATCAAATTCCAGATGTAATAAGAGAACATCTGGTCATGTAACACCGACCTGAGCGCCGCGCCGCCGTGCTGGGACGCCTCGGTGGCGTCTCGCCGCCGTGATGCGGCGTTTGTGTCGTGTTACAATCAGCATCACCAAATGTCCAACTTTAAAACAATAAAAGCTGAAGAGCGAGGAGTCACCTGATCTCGCCAACAGCTGCGGCTCTCAGCAGGTCAGTTTCATACTGATCCACCTGTCAGGTGTTTCCTGCGTCTGATGTAACAGGTCCCAGTAAACCAGTGAACCAGTGAACAGCCCACTGGGAGACTCGGGCTGGTTTTTGTGTGGACTCTTGACTCCCCCTGCTGCTCACACGATGAAGAGCAGCCATTTTATTCTCTATGTGACCAAAAGTATGTGGACAGCTGACCTGGGGTCAGTTTCTGTTACAGATGTTGTTCTAAACTCGCTCGTCTCATCTCCTCCATCGTCAGCCGATAAAAGTCGCTTTTTATTGGCTGACGATGTTTCCTGTGCTGCTCCTGCGTCAGCCGTGATCTCAGCTAAAACACATCTGCAGACCCACAAAACGAATCACAGACAGGTGTGTTTCTTACCTGTGTGACTGTCGGACGTCCTGACCAGCAGCACCTGAACACACACACACACACACACACACACACACACACACACACACACTTATCGGCATAAAAATTAAAACACACAAAAACAGCCAACGTGTGTGTGTGTGAGTCTCACCTGTCCTGGAGTGTGTGTGTTCTCCAGGTGTGGAGGAGGAGACAGCGACAGCTCTGTGTGGAGGTCAGAGGTCAGTGTACCTATTAGCTCCCCCGTCAGGTCGCCCAAAGTAAACGAGCCCTGATTGGTGGCTTCAAAGCTGATCTCTGACACATCTGCAGGGGATGGAAACAGAGTGATGTCAGAGGTGAATCAGGGGCGGGGCCAGTTCCTGACTGAAGCAGGTGAGAGTGTGAAGCCTGGAGGTGTCTGAACGACAACAGTGTGAGTCTGTTGTGTTAAACGAGAGAAAACTGAAGGCAGGCGTACCTGCAGCCTGACTGATCTGTCCAGGTGAGCTGGACTGACCGCTGTGGGTGAAGCTTACGTTCCCGTCCGCCCTCCCCCAGGAGCCCTGAGGACATACGAGGTCAGAGGTCATAAGCTGAGGTGTGGTGCCCCTCACATGGACTCTGATGCCTGCAGGCTCACCTCGGGCTGCGGCCTCGCTCCTCTCTGTGTGACTCCCTGCTCCATTTTGGTCAGCAGCGCCCGCAGGAGGTCGCGACCTTTCACCTGTCCTTCACTGGGGGGGTCAAAGTCCTGGAGGGGGCACATCATTATATTAATATTCAGCTTGTGCTGAGCTTCCAGCAGTGCCGTGCTCAGTGGTTCCTCACCATATCCTGCAGCTCCTGCAGCGAGCTGTTGAAGCTGCACGCAGCCCCGCCCCCTGACAGACAAACAGACAGAGTCACACCTGCAGGCTACACATGTGCTGCTGACACACACATGATGATGATGATGATGGTGATGATGATGATGGTACCTGTCATGGCTGCCAGCTGGTTGGCACTGATGAGCAGCTCTCCCTCTGAGATGTGTTTCAGAGCTGCTTCAGTGCCGGCCGTCACCGTGCTGGAGCTGCTGGACTCCTCGGAGGAGGTGGAGGGGGACGCCGGTCCTGCCTCAGGGGGAGGAGACGGGGAGCGAGCAGGGGGGAGGGAGGGAGGAGGAGGAGGGTGAGGAGAAGAGAGAGGAGGCTCCTCCTCCTCTACTGACATAAACCTGCAGAAGAAGAAACGTGTTAATGAACCAGGAAGTGTGTGTGTGTGTGTGTGTGTGTGTGTGTGTGTGT